GATCACTACTCTTGACGGAGTAGTCGTGTTGAGATATTTGGGTTAGACTTGTGTGATTTAGGCACGTCTTGTCGGGCGTGCCACATATTTGTGTTTTTGCCGGGATTTTGAGTTTGTATGTACCTACTTATGGCAAGCGGCGGTAATCGTTTATACGTTTCATACAAACGGAGTTCGTTGTGTCGAGTCATGGCAAACATCGACAAGGACTTGGAGGCCTGATTTTTTGCGCTTTCACATGTACGTGTGCCTACGTCGAGTTTATGCATGCATGGTTCCCATCTCTCCAAAACACACACACATGGTCTCTCTCGGTTCATGTGCTCAATGTTACACCGTTCGGATGACTTCATTTCAAGCTCGATGGCCTTCGGTTGATCTCCTCGATTCCCTCCGGTCGACCATTATCGGACACACGGTGGTGACGACCACCGTGTAAGGTGCGCATTTTCTTTTCCTGTTTTCTCTTTCCTTCCTTGCTTTTTGTGTGTCTTCGTGAGTGTTTTTCTTATCGTTTCTTTGATCTTTGTATTTTGTTTTCGTTTTTATCGCATGACCTTACATGATTATGTGTTTTCTTCTATGCTTTTTGGTCAAGCAATGAGGACATTGTTTTGTTTTAAGTGTGGGGGAGAGATTTTCGTGATTATGCATGTTTGGGTGATATTTGTTTCGTTTTTAGTGCTTTATTTTTCGTTTTTGGACCGGTTTTATTTGAGTTTTTGTGTATTTGTGTCATCTCTCCCGCATGAATCTTGATGTTTGTTAGAGAGTCGAGATAGCTAAGTGGTGAGTCGAGGTTATTGATTGGTTTCACTATTAGCGTTCATGCTTGATGTACTTGATGAATTTGACGGTTTCCTTTAGGTTATTTTAAGTACTATGTAAGCTTCATTGATCATAGTACTAGGTTTGCATAGTTCTACTTGCTTAAGAACAAATCAGATACTAAAGCAGCCTTTATTCATTTTTGTGCTCTTATAAAAACTCAGTTTGGCAGTTCCATTAGAACATTACAATGTGATGGTGGTGGTGAATTTCTTGCTCTTAAATCTTTCTTGGCTGTGCATGGCATAAACCTAAAATCTCATGTCCCTATACACCAGAACAAAATGGTTTAGCTGAGAGAAAGCACAAACACATTGTGCAAGTTGGCTTATCCTTGCTTTTTCAGTCCCATGTTCCATCAAAATTCTGGGATGAAGCTTTTTCTAGTGCAGTTTATCTTATAAACAGACTCCTCAGAAGGTCCTTCATCTCAAATCTCCTTTGGAAATCCTAACCAATACCAAACCTGATTATACTTTCTTAAAAAGTTATGGTTGTCTTTGTTTTCCTCTTCTTAAACCATATAACCAAAACAAACTTCAGCCTAAAAGTCTAGCATCAGTGTTTCTTGGTTACAGTCCCAATCACAAAGGATATAAAGTCCTCCTTCCCTCTGGTAAAATCATCATATCAAGACATGTTCTTTTTGATGAATCCATTTTTTCTTTAATTACCTTAACCACACCCACTCCACCTTCTCCTTCTTCTTCTACCACACCTTCACATATTCCATATTTCATTTATTCTCCCACATCTCCTTCTGGTGATATTCCTTTACCATCAAACTTTCAGAATCAAGACACCACTTCTAATTACCAAGCTCCAACAAATTCTTCATCTCCCATGAGTACTTCTTCTACCCCAAATACATCTCCTTTATCTTCACCTCATCACCAACAGTCATCTCCCTCACACAGTTCTGACAACTCCTCTATACCTATTGGACAAATCATAATTGATCTACCTATTTAACATAATGTTGCATCTCAACCTGTTGTTACTAATGCTCTTAATCCTACAGTCACAGGTATTCATCCTATGACCACAAGGTCCAAATCAAGCATTTTCAAACCTAAGAGTTATTCCACTACTCTTAGTTCTGACAGGGAACCACTCTCCATTGATGAAGCTCTTTCATCTCCTCAATGGCTAAAGGCTATGGAGTCTGAATATCATGCCTTGCTCAACAATAATACCTGGTGCTTAGTTCCTGCACCCACTCACAACAAGATTATTGGAAGCAAGTGGGTCTTTAAACTTAAGACTCATCCTGGTGGCTCCATTGCTAGGCATAAGGCCAGATTAGTAGCTAGGGGATTTACTCAGGATGCTGGCTTAGATTACAAGG